ACAAACCCCCAAGTGTTTGTGCAGCTAAAGGCAACCCTTTGCACTTGAGTGCAATTTTCTTTCCAATGTCTTCCAAGTTTGAATGTGCACTACAGTTTTCATTTCCAAATGCATGTTTTGCAAGTAACAACCAGCAGTCCTCATTTGACAGTGGTTCCAAGTATTGAATAGGAACATTTTGCATGATAGATGCTACATTTTTGTTCCTTGTTGTTATGATGACTTTACTTCCCCTTGCTCCAGACGCAAAAGGAGTTTGGAGGAACTTCAAATCAGTATAATCCTCATTCCATAGGTCATCCAATACAAATAAAAATTTCCTTCCCCTGAGTTGTTCTCTTAGTTCAACTTGAAGCAAATTCAAATTTGTCGTATTACAAGGCCTTGAAGTGACCGACTCAAGAAGAGTTTTAGTTATCCTAGTAGCATCATAATCTTCTGAAACACAAGCCCAAGCTTGAAATGTAAAATGACCTTTCACCATTTCGTCATTGTAAAGCATTCGGGCAAGGGTTGTCTTGCCAACCCCACCCATTCCAACAATGGTGAGGATGGACACATCATCCTTGCTTGCATCATCAGATAGCAATACTTTCCATAACTTTTCTTTGACTTCATCTCTACCATATACACAAGGTTCAAGAACCAAGGAGGTTGTTTGAGTTCTTTGCGAAACCTTCCTCCCAGCAACTTCTCCCAGACCAAGAGCACTTTTCAGCCGTACAAAGTTTTCTAATCGTTGTAACAACTCTTGTATCTGAACATTCATGCTTTGATAAAAACGATTACGAAAAGTAGGGAGGATGTTCCACACCTTATTGGTTAATTTGTGAGTTTGATCTTCACCTTCTTTCAGCTTGCATCTCAAAGCTTCAGTGTCAATCTCATCCAGTAAGTCCTCCGCATCAAAGACAGCATGTTTGAGCTCGTCAAGCCACTTTTTCACATCTGGGTTAACAAGTTGCTTCTCCTCTGCATCATTGAGCACCAAGTTCAAGGCCAACAGTGTGGTATTTAGTTTCTTGAGTGGTTCATCGAGTTTCTTCTGCCGAAATAAGTCAACGAATTCGCGTGAAGTAATTCTGTCACACAACACCTGGACGGAAGCAGAGATAAGAGCCTCTCCGATCAAAGCCATGTCTTTTCTCTTCTCTGCAGACTGCAAGGGATTT